ATATATATATCAATAAATCCCTGAAGAAAAACAGGGTGTTTTAGTGTCTTCTCCATGTGCACCCTACTTCAGTTCTATTGCTTCGGGTTACTTTAAAGCTTCACTTTTCACAGATTTTTCTTAGCTACCTATACTAGAAAGAAGAATCCCTTCCCCTGCAGACAGCACAGGCAACCGTAGCACGTTAGTGAAGCTGAACAATTGTGCAGCATCTGCTTCTTTGCAAAACATCGTTTTGCCTTTTAGCTTCGAGGCACAGAGGAAAGAACTGATGTAGAAGACAGATAATAAGAACTACCTTTCCTCCGGAGGTGGTGTTCCTGTTTGTTCCCATGGTCCTCAGCACTGGTCAGAGTTTCCTGTAACTGCTGGAGCTTCTCCTGGTTCTGAAGATGTGTCAGGCGGAGCTGAGCTCGGAGGTCCTGGATTTCTGACAGCAAGCTGTTCCGGTCCGAGGAGAAAAGGTGTTCTACAACCATCTGCCTCTGCTCCTCCTTGAAAACAAATTGAGGCCTGTTAAATCTACAAGGCTCTTTCCATATTATCTACAAAGCTAAAGCCTAAGGAAACCCATGCAGTACAAGTTTTACACAGAGGCACTTCATATGACTAAGTTCCTGCTCCATATTAAACACTGAATTTTAGGGGTTGGAATGGACCTTAGAGATCATCCAGTGCCAACCTCCGGCCCTGGGCAGGGCCACCTCCCTCAAGACCAGGTTGCTCAAGGCTTCATCCAATCTGGCTTTGAACCCCACTAGGGTTGGGGCATCCACAACCTCCCTGAGCAACCTGTGCCAGTGTCTCACCGCCCTCACAGGGAAAACTTCTGCCTAATACCAAACCTAAATTTCCCTGCTTCAATTTGAATCTGCTACCCCTTGTCCTGTCACTGCAGTTCCTAACAGAGTTCCTCTCTGTCTCCCTTGTCGGCCTTTCAGATATTGAGGTCTCCACACAACCTTCTCTTCTCCAGGCTGAATAGCCCTAACTCCCTCAGCCTGTCCTCATAGGGGAGATGCTCCAGTCCTCTGATAAGCTTTGTGGCCTCCTCTGGACTTGCTCCAACAGTTCCATGTCCTTCTTATGTTGAGGACACCAACTGCATGCAGTACTCTGGGTGGGGACTCCTGCAAGCAGAGCAGAGGGGCATAATCACCTCCTTTGACCTGCTCCCACACTTCTTTGGATGCAGCCCAGGATTCCATTGGCTTTCTGGGCTGAGCTCACACTGCAGCTCATGGGGAGCTTCTCATCTACCATCACCCGAAAGTAATGCAAAATGTTAACACTGTGTGACAAAGAAAACCCTCACTTCATTAACTATATATAGCTTATACATAACAGATACCACAGACCATTTGGGCACAACCTAAAAGCTAAGTGTTATTGGCACAAAAATCCCAGATTCAGAATTAGTTCATTATATACCTTTGCAAGAGAGATCTGTGAAGCTCTAGTTAAATGGGAAGGAGGAGAAGAATCCTATCAAGTATTTCCTATTCACTACCACAACCTTTCTGGATGCCAACTATAATGATCACTAGGCTTCGAAACACAATGTGCAAAGTTTTAGAAACATGGTACCAAAGCAGAGATTAAAAGCCTATGGATCCCACAGCATCTGGATCAAGATAAGATTTAACAACAGATGTAACAAAACTGAGAAAAAACTTCAAAAAAATGACTGGAAATAAAGAGATTACTTATGGATAGAATGTTTTGAGAGAATTTCTCACTTGCTGTTTCATTATATACTCCAGTTTTTCCACTAATGAACCTGCATCACCAGCTGCAGGATTGGAGAAGTGAGACTTCAAGTCAACTTGCAACACATTTCTCTCTTTCTCCAGCACACTCTGCACTGCTTGTAGAAGTTCTCCTCTCCAGTCAGCAGTGACACCTGAAGTTTCCTGTTAAAAGAATGAATTTCTTAAATGGCATCTCAACCTCTAATCCACTTTCATGGCATTACTGGGTGAGAGTACAGCTGTTAATTTAATAAAACTGTTTAAAGAGCACTGTGAATCTTAGAAAGGAGAGTCCCTTACTCCTTAGATGTGTACATATATACACACACACAAACCTCATAACACGCATTTCCATCTCTATAAAACCTGCTTACTTTGCTTTAAAGGATGTTTTATTGCTATACCTTATCTCCTCTCTCTGCCACCTTGCTAAGGTACTCCTTGAGTGAGTGGATTGCATCCAGCAGGGCGAAGCCCTCCCTGTGCCAGCCTTCCACTGCTGCTCGGGTCTGGGAAACATTCCTCAGCTCCCTCAAGCCAAAGGGATGTTCTGACAGAGCCAATATTTTGCGGCTCTCCTCATAAACCATCTTCAGCACAGTCTGAGAAGGGAAAAAAACCAGAAATGGATAGTATTAGGAAACAGGCATCAGCACTGTGACAGTGTAAGGGTAAGATGGGATAGCACAACCAAAATAAGGTGTCTGTGTACATCAACACACCAAGATGCAATCAAGCATAAATTAACCACATTAATTATGCCGAAGGGCTGTACTTTACCTTTGTTGTTTCTGAACTATTTAGCTAACTTTCCTGGGAAGAAATTCAAGTCTCAAGCCACGTTACCAAATCCCACTGATGCCAGAAAACTGAAGTATGTATTTAGACAACCTTGGCTTAATTTAGCAGATTATGTACAAAAAACATCTCTCAAAATAATCAGTTTTAATAGTTTACACAGTGGAAATTATTTCCTCTGACATTGTCAGGCTAGAGAATCTATGTTGAACAAATTCCTTGCTCACAAACTATGACATCATGCACAGATGTTTCCTGGCCTCTTTGCAAGGAAGGTCACTGGAGATTTTAGGCTGTTTCTTACACCTATCTCATTAGAGAACCCCAGCATCCCCGTGGACCTGTTCCTCATTGCTGCTCACTTCAACACCAACACAGAGGTCTTTAACTTAATATTCTTTCTTTGCATTTTTTTAAATGACTTGACTTTTGCAACAACTTGAGTTGCTTTTCTGTCACTGGAATCAAAGTAGCGATTACTTCAAGCACCAGTGAAAACCTTAGTAAACATTGACATCAGAGGCACAGCAAAGTGCTCAAACTAAACATTCAGTACCGGAATATGCACTCAGAACTCACGCCCAGTAAAGTCTAGATTGATGACCCATAAAAAGAAAAAAAATAAATCTGTTTCTTAAGGTAAAATAAAATTCACCTTTCCCATGAAGTCTCAGACTATGCCTTAGAGAATTCTTCATTTTTGAGATACAGAATCCTAGAATGATTTTCAGTTTAAAGACCATTCAGTCCAATTCCCCTGTCACAGGCATGGGCACATCTTTCACTAGTTCAGGTTGCTCAAAGCCCCATCCAACCTAATTTTGAGCACTTCTAGGGATGGTGCCAAGGACACGGTTAATTGTTGGGTTGCCAATGCATGTGGCCAGAGCATGACCAGCCTCTCACCCATCAGCATGCCCAAGTCCTTCTCAATCTGTTCATCCCCCAGCCTGGACTGGTACCAGGGGTTGCCCCAATCCAGGTCTTGTTGAAGCTCATGAGTTTCACATGGGTCCAGTCCTCCAGTCTGTCCAGGTCCCTCAGGATGGCATCCTTTCCCTCAAGTGAATTGACCACACCACTCGACTTGGTGTCATCCACAAACTTGCTGAGGTGCACTCAATCCACCTATGCCACTAATCATAGAATCCTAGAATTTAGGGGTTGGAATGTACCCATAGATCATCAAGTCCCAACCTCCTGCCACGGGCAGGGACACCTCCTCACTAGATCAGGTTGCTCAAGGTGTCATCCAACCTGGCCTTGAACACTGCCAGGGTCGGGGCAGCTGCTACCTCCACAGCTGGAGTTCCTGGAATGGCTAGGAGCTTGTTCAGCTCAGTCACCAGACCAAAGAGTCCAAGTCACATACTTTCTCCAGCTTGCCTTACTGACTAGAGCTAGCACTCACTGTTCAGCCTCCTGTACACTCCTCATGCTCCCTGAACTGACTTTGAAATATCCCTTCCAACCTTGCAGTGGTGTTTCCACAGCTCTCCATCGTATCAGAATGACAACAGGCAGGGAGCATGATGTCAGCTAGCTATGGTTGCTTCTGAAACAGCTTTCTGTGAAGCCTCCAAGACAAACCCATGAAGCAGATCATGCTGCCCTTGTACCATCACATTCTGAACATCACTAGTGCAGCCCCAGGAAAACTAGCTCAATTCTGGCAAGTACGAGCAAGACAAATGTCAGTAAATACACCATGAGAGATGCAAAGAACCATAATCCACTTGAAGTTTAAACCATCACAGGACAGTTTTCAGTTTAAATGTAGCAGCAAACTCTCTTTTATACTAGCGTTTCATTTTTGCTATCCAGTTTCCATTTGCTGCTATGTTTATATTACTCGTACATTACCTTCAGCTCCGGTGAAAGGATTTCCTTCTCTTTCATTGATTCCACAATATCTGGAAACATCCCACAGTACTGCAGATAAGTCATGACACTAGCATCTAGGTGGTCTGATGTTTGCAGCTCCTGCTTTAGTTTAGCTGCCAGATATGAGCTGCTATCTGAAGGAAGAGACAATCCCCCATCCCACAAGTGTTATAATTATGAACAGAACTTGAAACCAGCACAACCAGTTGCAAAGTAACTATGGTTTTGGTTTCTTCTCCTAGTATCAATGCAGGGTTAGATCAAGTTGGTTGGTTGAGATCTCAACTAAGTTAAGCAAGTTAAAAGGCAGAAAGTTGCCTTTAGCAGCAGAGAAAGTGTTGCAGTTAAGTCAGGACTCACTCAAACCCCCTGCTCCCTTTCCCATATGTAAAGATGAAAAGGTAAAAGCAGGCAGAAATACATGTTTCTAAACAAAATCCACCTGCCAGAGGGATAGGCTTCCAATAAAAGACAGACAGTAAAAGAAAATGTGAGAAAGTGGAAGCATTACAGTGTTTTTATACTGAAGTGAACAAAAGGAATCTCCAAAGTTAAACTTACTGCTGCCACATCCATCACTCATCGCAGACGTTCCTGATCTTACGTCATCTTGCAAATCAGAAGGGGTTAAAGTCAGATTATCAGCTTCTCTCATCTGCTTGGAAAGAAATTTTTCACACTAATGTAGGTTTCTGAATCCATCTGTTGTTTCTTGCATTTACTAAAACTCTGTTACCAGTGCAGATTTTAGCAAATGCCTAGTTGGTCACAGTGTTAAGAGATGGCAAATGCCACAATGAATGCAACACTGATGCTATAGGAAGCCATTCAACCTCAATTTTTTCCTCTCTTAATGGTCTTAAGACACAGGCAGGTACTTCTATTTAATTGCCCTTCAAAGCAAGACAAAAATATACAACTAAAGGAAAAAATTCTGAAGTACAAACTTCATCTTCCTCTGCAATTACAGGGTATAGACAATACATAAATATTTATGTACACAATATATAAAATACTTTCATTAAAAAGTCTGTTCTCCAAAGAAGTCTCTTCCAACACTCAGTAACAGATTGTGGTAAGTGGGGAGCTCTTACAGTGCACTAAGTACTGTGGTAGCAAAGGTTTTGCAGGTCTTAGGCTCAATCCCTGGCACACAAAGTGCTACCACAAGTTTATCAGTTATTACCACAGTAAGAGAGGAACAAACAATCATATGTTCAGACCAGTACTGAACCCCTGGCAATGTGTAGGTTTTATTCCCTGGGAGCCCACAGGCCACCAGTGATCCAAGAGGAATAGAACTGAGCAGTCTTGTTCAGTAAGGATTAAATCAGATGTGAAATATCACTCACCAAAATTTTCTTCTCCATGTCTTGGTCATCATCAACAGAGTAGGTACTTTCAGAAAAAGCTGGAGATTTTCTATCTAGTCCCATTGCTGCCTCCCCACTGCCATTTTCCTCCAGGTTAGAATACCCCAGTGACACAGAATTCTCTCCCTGCAGGGATGACCTAGCGTGTGTAATTTCAAACTCTGCGTTTTCAGCTTCCGAGAAGGATGTCAGGTGAAGACCTGGATGAAGTTCCATGCTTAGGTCTTGTTTCCTCATGATCTCAGGTGAGCCCCATGACACCATACTTGCAATTAAATTCTGGAAGTCTTTGGAAGCATCTTTGTCTGTGTTCAAATTGTGTTTTGGTGAATCAGGAGTTTTATCAACTTTCAACAATTGCTGGCGATGCTTTTCCAAATCTTGATCCTCTTGAGAACTGTGGGTCATGTCCAACTCCTGAACCAAGGTATTTCCTTTGGATTGCTTACTCTGAGGATTTTGATTTGTATGGTGAGGAGTCAAGTCAAACATAACTTCATCTTTTTCCTGCAATGAAATAACACATTAATTGTTTCATGGAATTTGAATGTGATTTTACACACCGAGAAACATGAGTTTAAAAAAACCATCTTTTAAAATTGGCTGATGCTTCCTTCAATCTCTTAATCGAAGTAATGTTAAGATAAAATTACTCTTTTGACAGTTTTGGTTCTGTGGCTGAGTCTAAACAATGCACTGTTTGAGAAGACATTTTAGCTTATCTTACAGCTGTCAACATGGAAATTGGATTTCATCCTCCTTGCCACTTGTCAGGTACAGTAAATAATTGTACTCTCTCTCACTTTAGACCATCATCTTAATCCTTTCGTGTCAATCATCCCACTTAGCTGATGAGTCCTAGCCTGTTTTAAGCCTAGTGCTACCTGGAAGTACTTCACTCTTTCTGCTGCCCCTCCAGCTTTCATTCTCATACAATTCCCAATTTTCACACTGTTTGCACTTTTGAAAGAGGATAACTGCAGTGGCTCTTGGGGCAAGACCAGAAGAGGCAACGAAGTTGTTAAGAGGACTAGAGCACCTCCCCTATGAAGACAGGCTGAGGGAGTTAAGGCTGTTCAGCCTGGAGAAGAGAAGGCTGTGTGGAGACCTCAGAGCAACTTTTCAATATCTGAAGGGCCTACAAGGAGCCAGAGAGGGACTTTGTGTTAGGAACTGCAGTGACAGGACAAGGGGTAATGGGTTCAAACTGAAAGAGGGGAAGTTTAGGCTAGATATTAGAAAAACGTATTTCTCCTGTGAGGGTGGTGAGACACTGGCACAGGTTGCCCAGGGATGTGGTGGCTGCCCTGACCCTGGTGGTGTTCAAGGCCAGGCTGGATGAGGCCTTGAGCAACCTGATCTAGTGAGGAGGTGTCCCTGCCCGTGGCAGGAGGTTGGGACTTGATGATCTATAAGGCACATTCCAACCCCTAAATTCTATGATTCTATGAATTTGGGGACTAAAAGCATCAACAGAGACTGAATTGTAGAATCACAGAATGGTTTGGGTTGGAAGGGACTTTAAAGACCATCTCATTTCAACCCCTTGCCACAGGCAGGGGGTTGAAATGAAAAAAAAAACCTATTAATTACTCTCACAGGCAAAGCAGACAGGACTTCAGGAAATTGCAGTTAATCTATTGTCATTGAAATACAGATGGATAGCAAGAAAGAAAAGTACTGAAAGAGCTTCCTCCACCTTTTCTCCCCAGGCTCATTTTTTTTTCTCCTTGATCCAAAACTCCTCTCCCTCCTACGCTGCAGCATGGATATCTGCTCTAGCATGATCTTTTCCATGGGCTGTTTCCCACACTTTTCCCCTCTCACTCTTCACTGCCTGTGCAGTGCTTTGCCCTGTCTGAGACACATTTTTGCACAGAAGGTTTGGTTCTGTCCCGTGCCCAGCATGGAGCAGCCCAGCCCCCTGCCGCTCCCCCACTGCCAACACCTTGCCACCCACAGCCAAATGATGCCTTAGGATCCATGTGCAAAACCACATCCAGCTCAGCAAAGCTGTATCAGGTTTCTGTGGATGCTTACTCTGTTCTTAAGTCTTTCCAGGCAGCTATCTACTTACAGCTACTGCTGGAGAAGCTACAGAGACAGACAGACCCTTCAACTGACTCACCACAGCCCTTTTTATATCATGGTATTCATCTTCTCCCTTTCTTACAGCACTCAAAAGGATAAACTACAGGGCTTTATATGACACATAAAATTAGATTGTTCTAAAAAAAACCACTTAAGACAATTAAAAACCAAATTATGTACCTGTCTAGCAGAAGGGGAAACCAGTACTGCTAATGACTGATCAGTATTTGCTTCTAGTCCTTCCAATTCCTCCATTCCCTTCTTAAGGGATGCACATTTTCTTTCCCTCTGGCAGAATGGCTCAAGAACGTTAGTCTCTTCATGACCTCCTGGCTTCTTTAGCTTGCATGACTCCAGCTGTGAGATAAGCTCAGCTCTTTCTGATCGTAAGGCTTCAAGCTCTTTCACATGGGCCTTGGCTTGATCTTTCAGTTTTGTAGTGTTCTCTTGCAGTTCCTTGATTTCTCTCAGATAAGCTACTTCTTTCTGATTCAGTGCTTGCACCTGGAAATCAAGTCTAGAAACTTCTAATTGAAGACTATAAACATCTTGTGCCTGACTTGCATCTCTCTTTTCCAGCTCGGTTTGGAGTTCTGCTGCCTTTTCTGTTAAATACTGCAGCTCAGTTGTGTCAGCTTCTCTTTGATCTGCCATTGTCTTAATTTGCATCTGTTTCTCTAGAATATTTGCTTCCCTTTCCCTCACAGTATCTTCAAGTTCTTGAATTCGAGAAGTAGTCATCTTTGTTTCAACCTCTCTCTGAGACAAATGCGTCTGGGAAACGCTGTGTTCTTCCTGAAGTGCCTCATGCTGGATTCTCAGACAGGTTAGCTCTGCAACATACTGCTCTGATGACTCTCGCAACTGTTGGCACTTTTTCTCCCAAATTTCCACTTCCATTTTCAACTGTGATTCCTTCTCTTCCAGTTCCTGCTGCAGAGCTTCTCTAGAAGCTAAGACAACCTCTAGCTCCTCCTGAAGTTCTCTCACTTTGGAGAGTAGCGATGCGTTTCTTCTATTTGGATCAGGATCATCCTGACAATCTAACAGTCCCTTCTTCAACTCATTCTGAAGGTTATCCACTGGCTTTCCCAATGCAACTTGATAGAAATCATCTTGATTGTCACTATCTTCATGACACACTGGTGCAAAATGTGCCAGCTCTTTTTGAAGCTTCTCAATTACTCCGTGGAGTTGCTCCACCTCTTCATCCTTGTCCTTACGTAGCCTCTCCTGGTCAACGCGAAGGTGCTCAACCAGTGACCTGAGTTCTTCAATTTCAGATTTTTGGTCTTCCACAACCTGAGCAAAAGGATAAGGACTGAATGTTACAGTGTGTATGCACAATTTCTACAGCACACGAACCACATTTTCCTTCTGAATCACTCAGGCATTAAACCACACATTCAGCTGGAAGCTACTCAGAATAATCTCTACTTTCCTAAGACAGTTATTAAACAGATTTCATAAACAATAAGATTTTGTACACCTTGTTTACCCCCAAAATCCAGCAATGAATTTATAGTAGAGTATTCTTACTTTATTCTCCAGAGCATTCTCTAGCTCATGCTGGAGTGTCTTCATCTGCTCATTCAAGTGATCGATTTCTTGATTCTTTTCTTCAAGTAGTGCTTGTGGGAATGTCAAGGATGAAGAATCGCTCATACCCAGGTCCTGACACTGCTTCACATGAAGTTTTGTTAGATCCTCCTGACCAGAAAAAAACCCCAATTACTTCATTAGAAAGGACTGATTTTTTCTTCCAACCTACTGGCAGAACAGAACAAAGGGCTTTGTTTAAACATTCTCATCCTTATATTAATGTTGAAGAACTCAGGAACACAATTACAGCCACTTTGTTTGGGTTTGTACAACTGGATTAGACTGTCACAACCCAGAGAATAACCCATGCTTTTGATATAAATCAAATGGCTGTAGAAGATAATGCTACAGGCATGAATCTAGAACACTGGGGGGCTTTGGTTCTACAACTCCCAGTGTTAGCCTCCTAACAGCAATGCGATATTCCCCTGGCAGGAGAAACAAACCATGTATTTGTTTACAACCTCACAGAATCATAGAATTTTAGGGGTTAGAATGGAGCTTAGAGATCATCTAGACCCAACCCCCTGCCCTGGGCAGGGATACCTCCCACAAGACCAGGTTGCTCAAAGATTAATCTAACCTGGCTGTGAACACTGCCAGGGTCGGGGCAGCCAGTCTCCCTGGGTAACCTGTGCCAGTGTCTCACCACCCTCACAGGAAAAAACTTCTGCCTAATATCTAGCCTAAATTTCCCCTACTTCAATTTGTACCCGTTGTCCCTTGTACTGTCACTGCAGCTTCTAACAAAGAGTCCCTCTCCAGCTTCCCTAGAGTCCCTTCAGATACTGGAAGGTTGCTCTGAGGTCTCCACACAACCTTCTCTTCCCCAGGCTGAACAGCCCCAACTCCCTCAGCCTGTCCTCATAGGGGAGATGCTCCAATCCTCTTAGCAACTTTGTTGCCTCCTCTGGACTGGATCCAACAATTCCATGTCCTCCTTATGTTGAGGACATCAGAACTGTGTGCAGTATTCCAGATGGGTCTCACGAGAGCAGAGGGTGAGAATCACCTCTTTTGACCTGCTGCCCACACTCCTCTGGATGCAGCCCAGGATTGGATTGGCTTTCTGGGCTGAGCTCACACTGCAGCTCACAGTGAGCTTCTCATCCGCTGTCACTCCCAAGTTTTTCTCCCCGTTGATGGTCTCAGTTACTTTCCTATCCAACCTGTAGCTGTGCCTGGGATTGCCGTGAGCCAGAGGGAGGACCTTGCACACCATCATGAGCTGAAGAGCACAACATTCCAGAAAAGAGGTCTCTGACCTTTCAATCAGAGCACACTCAAGCCAGGGAAACCTACCTTCAAGTGTGCATTCTCTGCCTGAAGCTGGCTGATGCTGGAAGTGCTAAGGTTTCTTTGCATCTCTAACTGCAAGTTCAGCTGAAATATCTCCTCATTCTTATTGTTCAAGTTGTCTTTATATTGTTCTAGTTGGTCTAGCAAGCTTGCAATCTAAAAAGAAGCAGAAAATACACAGTTGTTTCAATAAAGTCCTCTTACTTAAGGCGAAAAGATAGGAGACATTAGCATTTGACGTCCGGTGCAATCACAGGCATTAAGAAAGACCATTCTCCATCTCCCAGAAGACAGGAATTAGCATTGCAGTGCCAATCTCAGTAACACAGACATCAAAGAGATGAGCCAATAACCACACATTTCTCTGCAGGTAGCTGCTCGAAAAAGCAAAGACCAGTTTGGAAACATCCACCAGTTCTATCAGCTCTTGCCTTACTGGGCAGCAAGGTACAGAGGCTTTGGCAATGTGGCAGTTGAAGTCAGACTTCCTAAAAGACATGGAAATTCCAGCTGTAAGAAAGTATTTTCTGTTATCTTGCTGCTCTTGAAAGAATTGTGTACAACTGACCAATGATCAGCCCTGTCTTCCTTCTCCACGCATCCTTAACTGGACCGTGTGTTTCATCATGTGACAACAATAGAAACATACAGCAAGGTTGTGTACATATCTGTGCATGTAAATCCAGTAAAGGTTCTAAATAATGGGACTAATTACACCGTGTTTCTGCTTAGCTTGACACAAAAACTCATCACTCATGTTCTTGGGCTCACAGAGGTCAAATGACACTGTTATGGGGAATTGTCCTTTCAGGTCTTAAAGGAATTTTCCCTCACTCTCAAAGGCAAACAAAAAACTATCTACCTTCTGCTCCACTTCAGATTCGGAAGGAAAGGAAAATCAATTTACAACAGATACTGATAATCAATCTCAAAGATGATGTGAATCATCACAACACAGTGGGAAGGGAGATAGACACCAAAAAAAGCAAGAAAAAGGAAGGTTAGTGAAGTCCAGAGCACAGAGAATTCAGGGTTTCTACAACATTAGTCCTTGGGATTTTGAATGAATGGTTCGACTTCCCAGCTCTAAGTGTGTGCAAAATGTTCCTGCAACTACAAGAGCCACTCAAAAGTCTGCAGGACTCTACCAAAGCTCTTACCTCCCTCTGCTTGGCCTGAAGTGCTTCCTGCTCTGCCTGTAGCTGCTCCTTCAGCATGGGAGCAGAACTGCCATCCACTGGCACTCGGTGCCTTGCTTCATCCAGTTTAGACTGCAGGGCAGAGATCTGAATCAGGTTGTTGTACTGCTGCTGTTGCAAAGCCTCTTTATCCTGCAAAGGATTTTTTAACATTAGAACCAATTGCTGAATATACAGACCTACTTAACCACAACAATCCTGCCAAAACACCTCATTGTCCCTAACAAACTCCAGTCCATGAAGAAAAGTACATAATCCCAATGGCCTGTAAAAAAATAGGAATACAAAACAATGGAATGTTTTTAGCTTGCTTAAGCTTTTACCCCTTTAGTTTTTCTAACCCAAATGTAACAACTCTTGGCAATTAAGCATTCAGTGATACCTTATACTTTCTCAGTCACACAGCATCTTTTATATTTAAGAACCTAAACATCTTGTTCTTGCAGCCATTTCCCAATTTATTATTACACCACATATGTGCCAAGCCCGAAAAAGTTACTCAAATGTTTGGTAAAAGGCAAATACTTTGCTAAATAGAATGTAACTTAACTCTAAGCTGTTATTAGATCTGCAGGAGTAAAATTTCAGAGCTTGGTGAGCAGATCTGGCTCCAAAGACACAGGGCAAAAAGGGCTATGGAGTAAGAGTATGATTTTATGCATAGCTACTTACTGAAGACCCTCAGTGTTTAATATTCAATAACACCATCTCCTCTGAACTTTCTAGACAAGCACAAGAGCAGCTCTGACCCACGCAAACATGCCGACTGCCAAAAGCAATCTCTATAGGAAGACTGACAGTACCTAAATCTTTTAAGCACTACATAAATATATACTACTCACAAGCAGTAAGTCAGTCCCTATAGTAGAGTTGTAGTTGGTAGAACTAGAGTTTATTTCAAACTGCGTCTGTGATATCTGCCATGAATACACCACTAACTCCCCACTGAGTGCCAAGGAGAACTGCAACCCCCACTGATAACCTCCCAAAGCCACTGTCATGTAATGCCAACTCCAATGAAATAACGATTTAACAATTACTTGTTTCAGTTCAGTTTCCACTTTCTTCATTTTCTGCAGCTGTTGTTCCAGGCCATGTACAGTCTTGGAGACCTCAGCATTGCTGTGCTCCAGCTCTTGGATCTGTGCTACCAGTTTTTCTCTCTCTTTATCACGAGCTGTAATTTCTTGGTGTTTTTGCTCCTTTTCTAATAACAGTTTATTGTAATCATCCATCTTCTCTTTAATTTCTGCTTGCAAAGATTCTACCTGTGTAGAAATCACAGCGTACAGACATCCAGGCAGTATGACACACTTCCAACTGGAAGCAAGAGACATTGCATGTCAAAGCAGGTGGATTTTTACGATGGACTAAAGCAGTGCTAAAATCCCAGGTGAAAATAATACTACATGTGGACAGAAAGGATGAAAAAGTAACTTCCTGAAATCTTGTTTTCCCAGTTCAGCAGCTCTTAGATCCCACTGGATTACTCTTACTAAGTGCAGTGCTCCTGCAAAGTACTAGTTGAAGACATACCCTCAAAGGGGTCATGTGGTCTGTTTGTTTGAAGATTCAAAACCCCCAAGATCACACAAATTATTACTAACAGCATTAGATTTATTTCTGTAACCTCGGGACCCTTTTCCAGTATTTCAAGGCATTCCAGTTTAAAGGAAAATACCAAGAACTTCATGATAAATATGCAATGCCTGGAAATTAGAGAGATTCCCAGAAGACAACATAGGATGGGAAACTCTTCTTCCAAAACCCATTTAAATCTGAAGAGAATACCAGTTTAGAGCTCACTGAGATCCAACCACACACAGAGCTGCAGGAAAACAGTCATTCATTGATCCCAGCAGTCAAGGGGAAGGCAAGGCTAGGAGCTTTGGTGGGTACAGAGGAAGGAGTGAGACAGAGACTACCTCAGGTGTAACGAAGTCATTAAGCACATTGAAAGCAAGGGGAAAGGAGGAATAATCTGGTCAATACCAATGAGCAAGAAAGATGAGGTTTGTGCAAAACAAATGCTTTTAAGTGACTGAGTTGATGCAAATCCCATTGCAACATTATAAAATAAAAATTCTTTACTCTAAGGGTGGTGAGACACTGTTACAGGTTGCCCAGGGACGTGGTGGCTGCCCCGACCCTGGCAGTGTTCAAGGCCAGGCTGGATGAGACCTTGAGCAACCTGATCTAGTGAGGAGGTGTCCCTGCCCAGGGCAGGGGGGTGGGACTAGATGATATGTGAGGTCCATTCCAACCCTTAAATTCAATGATTTTACGATTCTAGGATCCATATAGAATTTCACATCTTCAAAGTATTTCACAGATATTACTTAAGCAGCAAAACAAGCTCTAGCAGAATAAGGAAGAGGAGTCAAATTAATAAGCGTGGAGAGGGTCAGAGACTGGTTCGGAAAACCAAAAGTGATTAACATCACATTTTCAACTGCTTACAGGCACATAAACATTGCCTTAAATTATGTGTGTACCTTACTCCCTTCTCATCTCAGCAGCCTTACACTGCCTTACACTGGCCTTACAGTAAAGCTTTTGTGTATAGAAAAATATTTTACAAGTCTAATCTTTCTAATGCCACAAAAGTCTGGCATCAGAATCCCAAAGCTATGACACTTGAGACATAAAAAGCATCTTTTTAACACCAGGTTACCAGAAAGCTGGTGCTGTAATGCTGTAGCTAAGGAAACCCTTTGACAACCTTCACCTTCATGGCATACACTGCAGCTCCCCAGCACCAGGCAGCACTCTCCTCTCAAAATAATCCCACTCACACGTACCTTGAGCCTAGGGAACAGCAGAGAGGGCAACTATGAACATGTTCTAACTGCTAGATGCAGAAATTAGGAGTTCACTTGAACTGGATTTGGAGTGAGTAAATCGTTTGCTGATGTTGCAGCTGCATTGTCCAGCTGGACAAATCCTGACACTTCATTTTGGCATGGAATGTCTGCGTGCCTCACCCTACCCTCAAACGTCACTTCCTTAGTTACTGTCTGTGTGTGTCTTCCACCAAGTATGTTTTCATCCCTTCTGAGAGAGGCTGCAAAGCCACAGCAGCTAGTCTTAATTTTTTCAGTATGGAAAATTCACTCTATCAAAGATGTGACTGTTCCTACAGGACACACTTCTCTCACACTGAGGCAACACAAATCCATACATTACACAGAAATGAACAGATGGAAGTGAAATTAAATAGTTTACACATTGAAATTTTGACAAGAGCCAGGCCACAAATAAATGCATATGGCTAAGGCACAGTGTATCATCATCATCATCGTTCCAGTACCTCTGTTTCATACTCCAAATCTCAACTTCTCCTTTCAGGACAAAAAGCTCCATTACAGTGAGTAACTGCCTGTAATACCTCTGAGCAGTTAACCAGGAGAACAAAGCACTTCTGCACAGGAAATGAAATAGAGAGCAGTTCCTCATTCCCTACAAGAATTCTGCCACCCTAAACCCACTATCCTTAGCTCCAAGTCATGCTGAAGCAGCTTTGACAGATCAAGAGGAAAAAAAAAATGCCAGAGCAGATCTAATTAATAGAAGAGATTGAAAGGAAAAGGAAAGAAAGGTTAGAGAGATGTTCATGCTGTTTTCCATACCTGTAGAATCAATTCATAGTTCTGTATAACGATCATTTATGTGAAAAAAAACAAACAAACAAAAAAAAGCAAAAGTTAATTTTTCAAGCCAAGCACAAAACAAATGAACATGATTCATGAGCTTAAACAGGACAATGCATGTAGACAATGAACACCTCTTATTACAAATCCTATAGTTAGGAAAAAACCCCACCACACTTAGTACCCAGAAGTCCTCCCTCAGGTGTGCTTTGCAGAGCAGTGTCTGCAGGGATGTCCTCCTTGGTTCTTTTAAACCAGACTCAGAGGCTGTCAAACTTCACTGTAAAGCACATACAACAGCTCTTTCCATTTCCACAACAAATAATGAAGTGTACTCTCACTGCCTAAACATGGCTCAGTCACCTGGGGGAAAATCTGCTCTCTCAGTGACAAGAGTGGGGAAAAAAAATGTCTCCCAAGACCCCCAAGAAAATACAGATTTTGGTATTTAAGGGTAGGAAACAAAGTCCTTTGGCCACTCCATATGATTTTACTCACTCCATGCTCTCTGGGCTGTCCTGAAGTCTGTGATTTTGCTGACAGTTTTAACTGTTCTTCCAGTTTCTGGATTT